ACATAATCCTAGAGTGACAGGATTCAGTCCTGGTAGTTTTTAAAAAGGACAGGGGGATGGGTGTTAGAGAGAGAGAAGCAGAGGGCAATGTAAACAAAACAGCTGATTCAAAGTTAAGGTATTAACACCAGAGATTTCCCTAGAAGTCCTTGAGTGTTCTCTCTTTAAAATAAATTTGAATCATTAATCTTTCTGAGCCAGGCAAACTTTTAAATTGCATTTCAAATCCAATATTCCATAAAGAGCACAGAAATAGTAAATAGTCTAGTTTGTCTTTTAATCGTTCACAGACTTAGTAAAAATAACTTTGTTTTCAAGATGTGCATTCTTCTGCTTTTGTACTTGTCCTCTTCTGAGTGGTGGCAGGTCACAGTAATGGGGCTTCTGGAAGAAGTCCATACTTCTTGCAGTCAGTTGAGAAGAAGCTTGAAAATTCATGGGAAGGTGATCCTCCACCTGGGTCACTTGTGTCTACCCCAAATGAGACAGCTACTCCACCACCTGTGACCAATTGTATTGAAAACTCTGATTTTTTGTCTCAATAGAATAAAAATTATGTTTATTCATGGGTGTGCTTTGTGCTAAAGGTTATTATCAAAAGCAAATAAATTAAGTTAAAGCATATATTGCAAAATTTAGAGAAAGAGACATTTGTATCTATACAGACTTCCCAGATAACTCTGGCTCTCCTTTTAGTCCTAAAGTTGTCCGCCTTGTGTTTATTTCTCTCTGATTTTAGAAACACTATAGTTAAAGTAAGAAAGTTGTGAAGACAGAAGACCAATTTTAGGCATGGTACAAGCAAATGCAACTTCTGTTTCTTGGGCGTTATGTTTGCTAACTCCAGAGTGAGTTTAGCCTGTAAGTGGTACTGCTGAAAACTGTGGCAAATAGAATTTGCATGTTTGCTTTTAAGGCAGCTGTGGTAATAGCAGCCTAAATAGTTGCTCTTTCTAGGTCTTCCTTACAAAAATTATTTACTGCATCCACCAGTAAGAGGATTTGGCATAATGATGTTGCCTCAGTACAAGGACAATATCCTAAGCTGCTCACAGATGTTGGATCCAAAGCCTCAAGAAACTGAAGACTTCCAAAGAAGGTGCACCTTATCTAGACTGTTGTATAAACTTGATGTGGAGGCTAAGTGGCAGCCCTGTGAGTTCTGGCCTCCTGCAGTCTCTCCTACTAAGAAGAATCTCCCACTTTGTGTAGCTGTCTGGTGACCTTGCTTGAGCAGCAGTAAAATCCACAGCCACAACACAGCTGTGCCAGGAATGTGTCTGACACAGGTTTTCTTGACAGCGTGCATGTGATGAGCTCTTGATCAAAAGGTACTGCTTAGAGTTTAGTGCTTTGCTTCAAATAAGTAAAAAATATCCTAGCTTTTGTTTATAGAATAATTAAATGGATTGGGTAGGAAGGGACCTTAAAGATCAGCTAGTTCTAGCCCCCCTGCCATGGGCAGGGAGAGCTTTCAGTAGACCAGGTTGCTTAGAGGCCCATCCAATCTGGGCTTGAATACTTCTAGGGACAGCACATCCACAACTTCTCTGGGCAGCTTGTTCCACTGCCTCACCACCCTCACAGTAAGGAGCTTCCTCCTAATACCACATTTAAACTTACTCTCTTTCAGTTTGAATTCATTCCCCTTTCTCCTTCCCTCTTTCCAGCCTGCTCTTGCAAAAAGTCCATCTCCGTCCTTCTTGTAGGCTCCCTTCAGGCATTGGAAGGCCACAGTTAGGTCACCATAAAGTGTTGTCTCCAGGTTGAATAATCCCAATTCCCTTCAAATTCCTATTCTTGAAGTCAAGCTTGCCCTGTATCTTTCAGACATTGTTAGTGAAGTATCTGAGAGCAGGCAGCTAGACCAAACAGGCTAGAAATTATAAATGACATTTGCTTGACCATCCCTTTTTTTTGGATTACTTTGGGAGTTGGATTTTTTTTTTTAATGGATGAAAAGTCAGTTGTTCTTGCAATACTACTGACACCTTCTGTGTTCTTCCTCTGTTATGAGACAAAGCTAGAGGCTAAGTTGCTGTCTGGCACTTCCCAGGGGCTGTGTCCACATCACATGCAGAAGGTCCAGGCTCTCAATGGTGGGGTCACCTACATGCATCCCAGACTGCATCAGTCATCTACCTTATACAGCGTGAAAAAATTCCCCACCCAGAAGAAAAATATTCTCATAAATGTCTGTTACTAACAACATGCTTTGATCCCTACAGTACTACAGTATCTCTTTTTTTTTTTTCTGGGTTTTTTCTTTTTTGTTTTGTTTTGGTTTTTTTCTGCAGAAAATAAGTAATCTGTCCCAGCCCTTAGAATGCACAATTTTAAGGGACAGACAAATCCACTTGAGTTTTAAGTGACAGCACTGGCTTTCTCCAAGTACTCATCCTAAATTTTAATCTCCAGTGAAACAAAATAGTTAGATTTATTTGGCATGTATTTTAGCAATCAAACCTACAAATGTGCTCTTCTGGTTGAACTCAGTAGACTCACAGCTTCATATAATTCAGACTGCAGCATGACAGAGAGTTCTGTTATGGCTTCAAATATTGATCAGTCCAATTTAATTTCCTCATGGGACCTGAACCACGCTAGGGATAGTGGATTGTGTTGAAGGCTTGATAAGCCTGTTTTAAGTATCTCAAGGGCTTGTGGAATAGAGGCAATTATCAATGCTGATACACATTTCCTTTCTTCAAAAGGTAAAGGCTCATTAATAGGCTGCACAACAGCTGCTGTTGGCAAAAAATGACTTTTTTTTAAATTAACTGGGAAATACTGCTTCCTCACCTCTTCATTTACTAGTTGGCTGTTTCCAAAAGGAAAGGAAATTGGGTTCCAGGTTTTCATCTTACTGGTATATGTGATAGCAGTATCTTCTGTACTGCTATATTCACTATTTTGGTAATTGAACCCTAGATTATATTTTAGAATAATAGTCCCATCCCACTGCTTATGCCTATGTCTGAACAACCCATGCCAACAAATTCGGGTGTTTTACAACTTTTGAATTTTGTGTCAAGTTACTGATGATGACTGCTATTTTCAATATTAATATTACTGGTTAAAGAGTCTCCTGTTATAGCTTTGGCAGTCAACATTTTTGTTTGTCATTGAATATTTCAGTAATGTTTTTAAATTGTGGGGTTTTTAGGCTGTCAGTTATGAGAAGGAAGCTCTTTGTTGCTTCCTATTGTTTTATCTTTACTATGCAAAAATCCTAAAATTTCATTTAGAACCTGTTTGGTGTAGGTATGTTGTGGGTGTTAAATTCATACTGCTCTTCAATGCTGCAAATTGGATGTACAGAAAGAAAATGTCATCAAGGAAAACTGCTTTGTTAAACTTGATTTTAAACACCATTTTCAGATCACTAGCTAGAAATTTAGTGCCTTACAGAATGGTCACCCTTAGCTATTAGCAGTTGCTTTTGTTTTGTTTATCCACCAGGAGACAATTTAAACTATTAACAGCTGCTATAGTGTTTTCTGATTTCTTTTCCATTTTGCACTTTTTCTCAATAATTAGCACAGTTCTGCTCATTAATGCATGAATTGAAAGTAGCAGCAATACATTCCAAGGAAATTGGAAAAATCTTTGTTTCTGAGCATAGATGAATATGGGTGAGTGAAACATACAAAAAATTGGAAAGGTAGATGGTTGCACCAGATGCAATTGACCAATGAACCAAACTCTGTAATGTGCTCAAAATGTTATTTTGCTCATTTGGTGTATCACGGTAAGGGGCACCTTTACCTGGTTTTTCTTCTTTTCTTGATGTCTGAACTTTTAGAAAAAATTTTTCAAGGAAAGTTGCTGTTTTCATAATAATAAAGAAATACTTAGCAAGGGTAACTCTTACCTAAAATTGCAACTGAAATGTTTCTTAGGAGATCAAAAATAGGAAATTTGATGAAAAGAAATACATTTTAGTTCTCTATCTATCCTGGAATTTTTTTAAAGGTGTGAGTAATATTAAACCATTACTGGAATTCATGGTACTGGAGGCCCCATGAATGTTTAATAGGAGATGGCTGGTACCATCACTGTCCCCCAGGCTCCTGTTTGCTGTCAGTTCTCTTCCCTGATTAGTCATGACTGAAATGTGAAGATGAGTGGGTTACTGTAAAATGCCTTCAGCAATGATTAATTCAGATTAATCACCTAATTTTGTAAACACTGGAGCACTGAAAGAACAGTAATGGTGTGAGAAATCCCATAAATTTACCTAATATTAAATACATTCTGGATTTAGTTCTGCAAACATACAGATGGAGCCAATTCAGACATTCCTAGTCATGCGATGGAGCCAGCAAGGAGCTCCTTTGATTTCAGTTTCAGACCTATAGTCATTAATAAAACTGTGTCATTCAGAGTGGTAGGTTGAATGTCACAGATTAGCAGCATTAAGAGTGGTTTCAACATAATTTATTTAGGCCTTTGCTTACTTCCTTAATTCTCCACTCATGTTCCTTTTTTTGGGGTGTGTTATGTGCCACAACCATGGCAACTACCTGCTCAAACCATTGCACAGGGCAGGAGGAGCAGAGCAGAGTCTACTTTTTTGGTTTTAATTGCATTCATATTTTAAAGGTCATTATTGCAACATGTGGTTTGTTCTACAGAATAGAAATATCGAAATGGACTATTTTTAGGAACATACAATACCGGAAGAAAAAAAATCAATTATTTGATTCTAAAGTGGAAGGAAATTATGTAAACATTATAACATATGGGAATGTTCCCTATACCTAGAACATGCATTACATAAATATTTCTCCATATAACTGAAATGAATGTTAATTAAAATCTTAAATATTGGGACCGTAACAATGTTTATCATTACTTTTAAACCTTAATGGTATGTTTAATTATGCCCATCACTAATTTTGGAAACTTCGTGAAATGCAAAGTAATTTCCTCTTCTAATAATGTAAATTATCTCATATTAAGTAATTCCATTTATTATTTTATCCTTAAATCTTTAGGTGCTGAAGTGTTGTATATGAACATGTCAGCATATAATGAAGGTCGGCTGCAGTCATCATTCTGGATTGTTGATAAACAGCACGTATACATTGGAAGTGCCAGCCTAGACTGGAGATCGTTGGGACAGGTAATTTATTTGAAAAACTAATCCTATACCTTTTGAGTGTGTAATGAGAAAAAAAAGGTAACATTTTGAGGACACTTGGACAGCTCTATTTTCTTTTAGTTTACTGGCAAAAAGCATCAAAAACTGTACTGCCACAGTTTTGATGACTCTTCTCTGTTGGCAAGAATGTACTACTATAAATTTTGCTTCCTTTTGTTATAACAGCTGTCATCCATGGTTATGCGTAAATTTTAAATATTTGATTGTTTTTATTGATTTTGGTGATGGTCATTGTATGTTCCAGTTTATGTATGAAAAAAAAAAGGGAGCAGACCCATTGATAAACAAACCACTATGGAAACTCTATAGTAATATCATGGGCAAGATGTAGTCTCCCTAATCTCCCATTCAAAAAAGCAAACCCCAAATTTGGTAAGACTTCCAAATGGATAGTGGGTAATATACTGGAATACCCACTACCTTTGGGAAAGATCAGATTTATGGGTACAGAGTGTCAAATAGCATAATGCTTTTGAAGGCTGAATGTATTAGAGAGAATTCCACATTTTTCTTCCTCATAAACATGACAGTTGAAGCAACAGCCAGTGCTAAGAACTCTGTGCAGTCTGTGACCATTTTGAGGAATTGGTCAGTAACACAGCTTATTTGCCTTTTTGTAGGTATGTGTCCTTTTTAAATTTCTGCAACACTCAGGATCATTAGTAGCTGTCGTGTTCATTTTTGCTATATACCACTGACTGTGTGAGGCTGCTCTCAACCACACTTGTGGAGTGAAACCTGTACTTTGAGATCTCATAACTGAAAAGCATTAAGAGAGAGGGAAAAGCAGCAGTCCTAGATAGTTTTTAGTTGCTATAAAAAAGCTTGCTTTCTAAATATGAGCAGAATCTCAGAAACACAGGAATAATTTTGAACATGATTTTGCAAAGAAGAATGTGTGTCTTGGTTCTGCTGAACTTTTTAATATTTGTTTTCAGCTAAGACTGGAAGTCTGACTAAAAGCAAATTAGCCAATTTAGTAAAGAAAGTGAATAAATGCATTTTTGCTCTTCTTATGATATTAATTTACTTAAAAGGTATGTTTACAAAGGAATCTGGAATAGTGGTAGAAAAAACAATGTTGTTAGGGAAAGTCTTGGAAAAGAAGATGTTTTATTTTCAGTCAATGCAAGAAAATACAGTTTGGGCTTTTGCACAGCTCAGAAAATGTTTTTACATGATCTGTGCCTCATGAGCTAAACTCTTCTGTCATAACAAAATAGCTCTTCATAGGATTTATTTGGCTTATAAATAGTTTGTCTTTGAAGCCTCTTCTATCTGGGGGTTTGAGTACCAGTGAAAATAATAAATGTGGGGGAAATAAGCACATTTACCATACAGATTATTATATTATTTATATATTTCTTATGTATTTATCTTCATCACATATTATACAATTCCGTATAGGTTTGTTCTTCTCATGCTGAAGTAAATCTTTAATCTTGTAACATACTTGTGTTAAACTTTGATGCCAGTTACTTGTAGGCCAGTGTTTCAAAAGTGATTTCTTGATGTTAATTTTATCACTCTTCTCTGCATGCATTTGGACTTGTTTTAATCTTATTGCCATATAACAGTATATTTTTATATGTAGTTGTAAATGAAGTTCCAAAGAATGTTTGTACTATGCAAAAAGAAATCTCTCTGCATTACGGTAAAAGAGGATTTGCTTTCAGTTAGTTGAGAAATGTATGCTGGGGTTTCAGAAGAGCCAGAGGAAATTACCCCAGAGTTGCAGGTTACTAAATTAGGGCAACTGTCAAAGAAATCTGATATGCTGTCCTAAAATAATAATAATAATCTGTCTTGAACTTTCCCTTTCACATAAGAAGCAAAATAAGCACAAAACTCTGTCATTTTATTCTGAGTCGTTTCCTCAAGCAAAATGCTTTGCACATGTGTGGGACCTAATCTTAAAACCCACAGTGAGCTGAGCCCTCACTGGGGAAATATATCTCCCATGGCTTCTCATTATCAGAGTCTCAGTACAGCTGTAAATGAGGGAACAGCTCCCTCTCCTTCTCCCTCTTCCCTATTGTCCATTTGCCTGATACCAAAAAAAAAAAAAAACCCACCAACCAAGTCTGTTTAACATCATTTGTCTCTTAGGAGGCTAAATCTAAAGCTGAAACAATAATTTAACTTTTAACAGCTCCTTGGGAAACTTCATCAGGACTTAAGTGCTTTGGGTTTGCAATATTTGTGGGGAATGTTTTGTGTTTATAAACTGGATACTACAAATCAATCACATATGAAGCTTATTTAGTTTTGCCATTTTCTTGACTTGCCAGCACTGAAAAGAAACAATAAGAGTATTTTCTTAAAAGTAAATTTTCTGCATCAAGGAGAGATTTTCATATGCTGCACATATTACTTAAGAATTGCCTTTAAAGTTGCAGATATCCTGTGCCTTTGCTGGCAAAGTTTTAGTACTTGCCAGAGTCTTGGCTTTGAAATTATGAGCAAGTCTAAGAGCACATTATTACTTTTCAAGTCAAACTGTGTTTCAGTTAAATTGAAAGTTTGTCAAAACTGTAGTAATTTTGGCTGAAATCATCTATGACAGCTGTCTGCTTATCTGCATCAGTCTGAAATCAAACCCCACAAGGAAATGTTAAGTACTGTTTAGAGATCCTGAATGCAGGATTTTACAAAAATAATATGGTTTTTTTGTTCATAGTAGAATATTTTGAATTTTTCTTTGTACAGGTCAAGATTTTTTGCATCATCTTCTATTGGTATCAAAATATCCAAATATTACCTAATTACATAACACATTGAAAACTAAGGATTATGAACAACCAGAGTTTTGCCACTTTCTTAGATATAGTAATCTCTGTAAGATTTTACCAGTGAAATAATTTAGCTTCTTGCTGGTCAATTTATAGATACTGAGAAATAACTAAAAAATGAATGACTCAAACATGCCTAAAATTGTGTATGTATACTGATTAATTTTTTCCTGTGGCTTGAACTAATAGCAATCAAGATGGCCATGGTGCTGCGTTCTAGTTTCTAGTTCCTTGACCCAGTAGCTTATTATTACTTAATAAAAGAAATTGGTTATATAAAAATGATTATAGTCCATAAGCTAACAAAACATATCATATATTTCTTTTGTTCCATGATTCCCTCCAATAATTCCAGCAAAGCTTGAAATTGCATTTATCTCTTTAATTCTGTTCAGGAGCATGAGATTTGTAATACATATGAACATTTCTGGAGCTTTTTATACTAGCAACATTTTTGGAAAAGTTTGATTCACACATGAAATAATTGAATCCAGTGGGCAAATAACTGTAATGGATTAGTTGAACCACTTCAGAAAAATGCATTTATGTGCAACACATAATCAGCTCTTGCAAAATACTATTACTGAAAATTCCTGAAACAAGTAAAATTAATCCAGTTGTCTTCACTGAAAGTGAAATCAGGCTCATATTAGCTAGTCTTGTTGGCAAAAAAAAAAAAATATAATTAAGTCATGAATACTACTAGTACCAGGTAGTTGAGTGTATGTGTGATCAAATTCAAATCTTCAAGGTCTCAAGTAGAAGCTTGCTGTTTGCTCCCTGGGATCATGGAGTCTTGACTATAAACATCTGGACTCAAGGGAAGTGGCTTGTATGGGGTTCCAGGAGGAAGTGGTCTTGAAACTAAGGAGGGGGACCTGAATGGAAAAAGGTGAAGTTCCTGATTGGAGGAAAAGTTCTTAAAATGAGAGAGATCATGGAGATTAGAGAGCTGCGGGTAAGATGAAAGCCAGGGGATGCACCAAAACCACTGGTTGGTGATGCCTGAGACAGGTGAGCAGCCATGCATCAGGGATGGACCCAACTTTCTGCTCAGCATCTGGGGCCAGCAGCCCCTTCCCTGCAGGAACAGAAGATATGGATGGAAAGTGTGAAATATAATCAAGTACTTGCAAAAGCTCCCATCATGTTGGTTCAACAGCCAGGCTGTAAAAATCACAGGATAAATCACAGGATTTTTTTTATCCTTTTAAAGGATAAAAAAGCCAACCAGGCTGGGAAACATACTTATTTAAGCACAAAAAAATAACCAAGTAATATTTTTCTCATTCTCCCATTAATTTCATGTCTCTGTTGGATTTTTGTGTGATTTGTTTCACCAATATAAAGTAAGACTTCAGAAGGCATTTGATTTTTATTTTTCTTAATCTCAAAAATCCATTAGGATTTTCTTGTCAATCAGTTTACTCTCCATCCTCCTCTTACTCTCTTATTGCTATAACTTACAAACTGCTAATTTTATCTACATCATTTAAGGCAACTGGAAAATTAGATAGACTGTCCCAATAATTTTTGTCAGGTTGGAAACAGAGACTGTTTAATCTGAGAAGTTAGGTTTTTATTTGATGCACCTAAGATGTTAAATAAATACCCAAGAGGGCAAAAAAGTACTGTAGAAGGTGAGATGTGACAGTGTATGAATGAGAAACTCTCTGTGAAAACTGTTTTTTCCTTATGGTTATTAGTAGGTTATTAGTATTTAAAACACACTCGTCTCATTATTATTGAGTCCTACAGCACATGAAAGTTATAGCAATTATGATTTTTTCAGTTACATTTGAAGGATGAGGAACGAGTTGCCCGGTTCATTTATTCTGTTAATAATTCAGTTGAATCAACAGTCAAATTAGCTGAGATGGAGAGCTATGAAAATTATTCAAAAAAAGATCTATTAAGCATCTGTAGATACAGTAGATAAACCAGGTTTTGTCTTTTACAATAAATATCACTAATCCAGGGCTTACTTACAGCAAAAGTAAATTGGATTCTGAAATTTGTGAAATCAGTAAGCCTACACTCACTAGGAAAACAAACAAAAAGACAGGGGAAAAAAGGGAGGGAGGAAACCGCCAAAATTTCAGTTGGTCAAAAGACAGACATTTTCTGTGTGTACATTTTAAGTAAAAACTGATGAGTCAATATTTGATT